ACACCACCTAAGTGATGATTTAGAGTCCCAAATTGCAGCTCGTCTTTACCCCGACCCGGCGACCTGCCTTTACCGCCGATTTGGCAACCTGCCTTTGGTGCCGACCTGACAACCTGCCTCTAGCGCCAACTTGGCGACCTGCCTCTAGCGCCGACTTGGTGACCTGCCCCTGTTGCCGACCAGGCGACTTGCCTCCACCGCCGATTTGAAGACCTGCCTCTAGCACCAACCCGGCGACCTATGAGACGTGCTCGCCGTCAATTTCTGCATGCATCCCATCACTCCCGGGTCTCTCAGAAGTCAGCTCTCACACCGAATGTTTTGGGAGAAATCGAGTAAGGCGCAAAGATTGGCTTACGTGCACGACTACCTTCGAGAACTTCGGAGTAGTTAAGCACGTCCTCCCAGAGATCCCAAACATGTTGCGTGATGCTCACGCCAAACAATGCCTATATAAAGGCCTTACCTCCAACCCCAGGGGGGAGATGTGCAATTTAGTTCTCGCAGCTCTCCAGCTCTCTCACATTTAGCTATCTTAAAATCTCTGATTCGCTAACTTTAGCATCGGAGTGCCCACCTCGGGTAAAGCAACCCGGGCACTTTGACACTGTGTCCTTGCAGGTCGCATTAGAGACACATCTCCAGCTCGTCACCACTCAACTAAACATCAGAGCCACCTTTCCAACTCGTCACCATTCAGTTAGGCGTTAGAGCCACCTCTCTAGCTCGTCACCATTCAGTTAGGCATCAGAGCCACTCTCCAGCTCGTCACCATTCAGGTAGGCGTCCAAGCCACCTTCTAGGTAAGAACCATTCAGCCAGGCATTCAAGCCACATTCTAGGTAGGGATTATTCAGCCAGACGTCCAAGCCACCTTCTTGGTAGGAACCATTTAGCCAGGCATCCAAGCCACATTCCAGGTAGGGATTATTCAGGCAGGCATCCGAGTCACCTGCCAGTTGGGAGCTGCCAAAATGCGTTTCATCAATTTCCGTTCAATCAATCTCTGTATCTATAAATAGAGTGGCATTCGGCCCTAGCAAGATAGGTTAAACCGAATTATTCTTTCAACTTATCTCTTCTCTTAAATCTCTATTTTGTTATTTTGTTATTATTCTTTCTCTACTTTAACTTGGTAAACCTCATAAACTAAGCTCGAATAGTTCGTGAAAAGCTCGACCTACTTACTGATAATTAATTCCCAACAACAATAATTTTGTTTAATAAAATTGGAAACAAGCTACTTTGTACATAGGTTGTATACATTTGTCTCTCCCTAAACCTCACATTGGTGAGAGCCTCATGCACCGGGCTATAGGACTTTTTCTATCCATTTTTTAACTTATCCAAATAAAGTTTAAGTAGCCAAGTGAAACACCACATAGTTTGGAGGGGTATATGGAGTTTATCATCAAGGTATTGACATATAGGATGCAAATGGATCGGAGATTTGAATTAGGATATATCTGATCCAAAAATACAAATCTTATATATGAATCATTCCGAAGATCCGGTCGGATCTCACAAAGGCCAATAGGTCGATTTAAATTCAAATCAGTTAATCCAATCTGATTATCGATTCCTGATTCCGACAAGATCGGGTTCAAATTCGGATCGAATCATGATCCGGACTATTTGACAGCGCCATATATCCCCGTTCACCGGTCACGGCCCCACTCGTTGCACTCAAGAGAGAGAAAGGAGGATTTAAGTGGGCTACGTGTACGCAGTGGGTAGAAAAGGCCCATAACCCATTTATGAATTATCCACTACTTTTTGGCTAATCATGTGTTGGCGATCACTGGGCCATAGACTGAACATGTGGATGCAATGCACCCTCCTCTTTCCTGAATCCTGGTTCCTATTTCCTCTCACTAAAATCCACTCAACTTACCAGTTACCATTCTACTTCTTTTTTCGTCCGCTAACCGTTTCACCTCTCCCTCTCCTTCTCCCTCTCCCTTTCTCTCTCAGGTGAGACAATCAGACAAACGTCAGTGCTGCCTTCTTCACAGTTTTTTTCCCTTTTCCTGCATTTCTGGTTTTCTTTCTTGAATGAACTTTCTGGGTCTGGGTTATCTTCTTGACTTCCTTTCTGTGAATGATCAATGATTTAGTCAGGCTTAAATTAGTGATCTTAGCTCATGAATGCTTTTCGAAACTTAATTGATGCTGAGCTTTACTCTATATGTCTATGTAGAAAACTCACCAAGGTAGGTTCGAAATTTAGTAAAGGGTGAACTTGAAATAGGGGTGATTCGGTTAATGTGAAGGGATAAGTATAATGCTGTTCATTGGAACTTTGCTTCTTATCATTTTTATTACATCACTAAGTCACTGCAAGTAATTTGTGAATCTTTCCAAGGCCTCTGATTTTCTTGAGAAGATTACAAACAGGGGATACTGCATGAGGTAGAATCTTCGTCACAAGAATTTTATGAATTACACTTTCATTAAATCATTAAACAACTGCAAGTCTGCAACCCATTTGTGAATATTTCCAAGTGTTTCAAGGCCTCCAATTCCTACTTGAAAAGATTGCAAAGCGGGGATACTGCATCTGCATCAGAGATCGTTAGGGGCTTTTTTGTTGTCTATAGATATCTTTTTGGCGAATGCCAATGGTTGTGATATTCTTTTTCCTTTAGTTTGAAATGGTCTTCTGTTACTGCACACTAGTTCGTCTTGCAGTCATAGAAGACTTTGATCTATTGAAAAGCAAAAGGCTTAGTGAAAATTTGCAACTCCATTCATCCTTTTAAAATTGTTTTTATTTCTATCCTTTACTTTTATTGAGCTTGGTTTCTCACTTTTTTGTTAAAAGATTTCTTCTTCTTTGGTGTTTCTTCCTTCATCAGAACTTTAATTATTGTATCCAACAGATATTTTTTCCACCTGTTGTGATTTCTGAATTTTATGATGTGTTTACTGTGTAATTTGACATGGAAAATTTTCCAAAATGCACAGTATGGCTAGTCTAGCACCAATCGTTGATATAAAAATAAGTTAACAATGCCATTCCCATATGGTGTTTTAAAATGTGTAACTTCACTTAGAAATCCTAGATATATGTAATATTACAGTTTCCTAATAATTGTAGCTTGTTAGACACCATTTCTGGTAATGGGAGTGCTCCTTTTTCTATGCCTTGACCTCAAAGCAATTAAATAAGATGCTGTGCTTGCATTGGTTTCAGGGATGAATAGAATGGGAAACACTGGCTAGAATTAATTTGGTCAATCATTCTAAACAGCCAATTATCAATCAACAGTGCCACTAATTTGCTACTTAGCTTGGTTCTTCCATGGCTTTGATTGCAAGTAGGGTGTCTGGTGGCCCTGTGGTGACCAATATGACCAATGCCACTGAGTCACATGGGACTGTTTATTCTTTTGCCAAGTTATCACAGCATACTAGATTACACTCTGCAAGTCAAAGAGTTGAGTTTAGGAGACCAAGTAATGGACATCTGTTCGCTGCAAAACTGAGCTTCTCCTCTGAGAGTTTGTGGTACCCATGTGAAAAACCTTGTGCTTATGTTGTCTTTCGGGAACATTCTGTTTTATGTTCATCAGCGGGAGCACATAATACTGAAGCAACTGAACGTGTTACACACCCTGCTGATTGTTCAAGAATATCTCGGTATGAATTCTCACAAGACATTAGTTATGTAGCTAAGATCTTTATTGGATTTGCCTTGCCAACATAACATGAGAGACACATGTCGGTTCTGGCATTTTAATGGCGGAAATTATTACTGTTGCTGTGAATTTTATTACCCATTGTTCAAGAATTATATGCTCATACAGACAAATGTATATAGCAATTTACTTTTATGAACAACATTATAAAGTATGCATGCAACATTATATGTTTAGAAGTACTATAATTTCCAAGGTCTCCAAACCTTAAAGCATATTTGCCTCCCTGATATTAAGATATGTAGAAACAATTTCAGGTTCAATCCACCAAACATGTAGGGGTGATTGCTTGGTGCTATAGTAAAATCTCAGTCTGGCAAGTATGATAATTCAGGTTCTAGTCCAAGAGTGACTATTTTGTGCAAAATGTGCCAAAAGTTAAGTTTAATATCCAGCATACCCCTCCCAAGATCATAGATAGCCAGGACCACCATAGGGCAATGGCCCTCTGGCAATTTCAGGTCGAACCTTTACATGCCATGCCTCTATTACTTCTGGAACGAGATTACAAATATGCAGGTATTCTTATAAGAAAACTTGGGCTGTTAAAAACTCTCTGTCGATGCTTTTTCCCGTTTCACTTGAGAAATGAAGTACAGTTACTGGAATTTGGAATTTATATGGTTCCTATTACCAAATGTCACTGGTTCGAGACTAGATTTTACTAGACTCAAGTTCACCTTTTCTTTATGCCTTGCAAACACTGAAACTGAATAATTGCCTTTAAGTTTTTGAATCACTACCATTTCAATACTGATAAAATAACCAATACCCTTTAAATACCAAGTCTATAAGCTAGCAGAAAATCCCAAATTATCTTGGGTTATCAGTACTTCTGTCCAATGGGTAATGCCTGCCAAGTCACAATTCTACAGCTTCAGCATACTCATTCAGATCTATAAAATCTATCATACATATACATACACACACACACACATATATATATATACATATATACTATTATAAAAAACACGAATGAGAGTGGAACTTTCCTTGACTAAAATGCCCATATTTGTGTATTTAGTCCATCTCTAATTATGAGGGTTGAAAATGTATTTTCAATCAATGCTTTTCACCTCATTTAATCCCCCCACATTAAGTCTTATATTTAAGGTATTAACTGTCATTCTCTCTTATTAAATCCTATTAGGGGTGTCCATGAAAAACCGAAAAACTGAACCGCAAAATGTGGTTAACCAAACCGATCGGTTTGGTTTCAGTTTGGTATTTTTGAAAAACCGAAGGACTGGTTCGGTTTTTGGTTAACCTACAAAAAAACTGGCAGTTAACCGAACCGGCCGGTATATATATTTATATGTATATTTTATATATATTTTTAATATATGTCACATATTTTCTATATATTATATATAAATATATATTCATTATCTATAAATATATACACATATTATATTTATAATAATCTATTTGTAAATATATTATATATTTTTAAATATTTATAATATATTATATATCATTTATTATTTATTATATAATATAATACATATATTTATATAATATATATTATAAATATAAAAAACCAAAAACCAAAGAACCAAACCGGTCAAAAACCGAAACTGGCGGACCGGTTAACTGGTGGTACTGGTTCGGTTTCGGTTTGGAGAAATGGAAAAACCGGTGGTACCGGTTCGGTTTGCAAAAATTGCCCATGGTTCTGTTAACTAAACCGTGGACACCCCTAAATCCTATAACTTTTCTTGACTAAAATGCCCATATTTGTGTATTTAGTCCATCTCTAATTATGGGGGTTGAAAATGTAATTTCAATTAATGCTTTTCACCTCATTTAATCCCCTCTCATTAAGTCTTATATTTAAGGTATTAGCTCCCGTTTTCTATTATTAAATCATATGTTTAAGATCTTTTTTCATTAATAAATGCTACTAATTATATCTATGTCTAATAATTTGAACAGTATAAACCCATATATTTTAAAACATAAAAGTGAAACCATTATTTGTCCAAGTGACGACTAATCAATTCAACCATCTGAATCAAATTGGTCAACTATTGAACGCATAGTCATATACTAAAATTTTTAAATAGAAATAAATATAGAAAGTTACAAAAATGTAGAAAAATTAAAAAACAAGTGTAATAAATAATAATTATTTTTATTGATGATGAAAATGAGTTACATAATCTAAAACTAATCAAGAATGAAATTATTTTCCTATTTGGCGGAGATGAATAGTTCAACTTTTGGGTCAAATGTGGCAACCTTTAATGTCATAATTAAATAATAAATATTAATAAAATATAAAAACACAAAAAACATTTGGAAAAATGTATAATATCATATATTTATCATATTAAACAAAAAATAAGTGTACATAATAGAAATATTTTACACATATAAATAAAAAAGATTATAGAAAAAATTGAACACATCTATAATTCTATATTTACACTACTATTAAAAATATGAATAAGATTGTGGAACTTTCTTTTAACTAAAATACCCATTTTTTGAATTTAATCTCTATTTAATTGTGAGGTTAAAATATATTTTGAACTACTGTTTTTTACCTCATTCAATTCCCTCTTTTTAAATTTTACATTTTTTTTGTTGTTATAAATGAACAAAAGAAGATACACTAAGAAGATAAAACATTACAAAAAGAATAGTCCATCTGGCCAAGCAGGAAGGCTTGTCAAAGATACTCAAAACTTTGCAGCCTAATATGAGGTGTTTACATAACATGATTTGGATTTTGCAATATGCATTCGATTAACAATGAGAAACAAAAAATATAAAAAATACGTGAATTTTATAGACAATTTTGGATACATTATTACTATTATTATCATCATGTAGAATTGCCATGTGCACACTTACTAGTATGTGTGTGTGTGTGTGTATATATAAGGCATATAGAAACATGGACAAAGAACAAAAATAAACAAGACAAATAAGGACAAATCAGACAGCTCTCCTGGGCAGGGCAGAGTGGTGCTGATCAGCCAGTCAGCACAGGCAAGGGAGCTTGAAGGGTTTAAATATCAATTTTTTTTTCAATCATTGGGAATGGAAATTTTGATAAAAATTTAGTATATAACTAAGGGGAAGCCCATATTTATTGCGTATTTCCCTCACTGTTCTGTTCCACTTATTTGAGGGGATGTCGCCCTCCTTTTAATACAATAGCTTTTTATTTGCCAAAAAAATAAGAACACTAAGTAGGTGACAAGGATGTGAGGACTGAGGAAATGAATGTATATCTTGTCATGTGACAAGCAGCTGAAAAGAGTTACTTGATTATGAAGAAATCTCTTGGGCCAAGTCTATATATATACTTATAGAGTGTTCTTTTGGAAGAAATGAAGAATTATTGTTTGATTACTTTGAATGAAAAATCTCTCAAATATTTTAGAAGGTGTGATGCTTTTCTCTAGGAGTGATTCCTATAACCATAGTGTGAACTGTTAAGCTAAAATTTTCCCTTTTTGGCCATGATGCCTATATCAGAATACTATTAGAGTTATTCTTCTAGATCCATACTCTCTTTAACTCCTTAAAATCAGCCATTCTCCATGTTCCTTGGAGATTCTTTCCTGAATCTCAATTGGATGCAAATTATTATTAATGAAATAGTGGAATAGTAACTTTCACGTGTCCTTTTGTGTTCAGAACCAAATTTATGTTGAATTGCTATATTTTCTTTTTTGATCAGCAACAAGAAAATTAATTCATTAAATTAGAATAGAAGAATACAACAAGAGGTTGTGAAAAAACAGCAAACCCAAAGCCATCCCAAATTTACAACTGAGCCCAAAACATGGATTGTCTCTGAATTCCTTGTTTAGCTAGGCCATCCGACATGCTATTTGCAGATCTTCTAATCCATCTTATTTGGATGAGCATATCTTTAGATAACTGTTTGAAGCGCCTGGACTCATTCCTTAGCAGCCAAATTATCCTTTCCTCCTTTTTCATCTAGCCCACAACTATTTTTGTATCACCTTCAATGATTAGTCTCTCAATCCCCATTTCTTTAGCCTTCTCCATCTTGTAAACTGCTGCCATTAGTTCTGATCTCACCACTCACCTTGCTGAACAGGACCTGAAATACATTGCTAGGATGTTTCCATTTTCTTCTGTAATAACCCCACCAATACCAGATGGGCCAGGATTGCCCATACAGCTACCATCAAAGTTCAATTTCTTCCACCCAGCACATGGGGGTGACCAGGTTTCTATAATTCTTTGTCTGCTTTAGGAGGAAACAGAAATTAAGCCCCACACACTGAAAGAATCTTCAATTTTAAAATCTGCAAAGAGCTTTAAAGTTTCACCCAATGAGACACCATTAAAGTTATTACTTCTATCACAGCTTCCATACTTCTTTCCCTGTCTTCAAAAATTCTTAGATTTCTTTCTCCCAAAGTGTCCAGATCACCGTTGCAAGATTCTCTCTGGAAAGTGTCTTTTTGCAGATTTGTTCATTGTGTTGAAAGATTATCTTATATTTGTACATACCAGTTATAGGTTAATTAATTTTTGTATGATATCACATATTCATGAATATGTCCTTGGTACACAGAACCAAAGTTGGAGATGAAGATGTTGAAGAGTTGTTTGATTCACTCTTGCCTGAGCATCCAGTCATTCCTGAAGGCACTTCTTATTCAAGTCGGGGGCTAGCTGAAGCATGTAAATTTGTTTGCAATGATGCAAAGTATGTTAATGAAAGGGCCCGTAATGACATTGTCTTGCTTTCACGGTAAGTTTTACTCACATAAGTTGTGCTCCATATGGATTTTGTCAACCAGCATGTATTAATGGTTGGCACCTGGGTTAAGAAGGATAAATCTAGAGATTAATGTGTGTTTGTAGCAAATTAGGTAGTCTGAACAGGTGGTAAAATGAGAGGAATTAGCTGGTATGGTTCACTAATTTACACCAAAGGGAAACTGCTGCACCAGTGGGGTAATTTGGTGTAAGTTGTTGAATGCTCAAGGCAAGTGAATGACCAATGAAGTTGAACCCTATGATTTAACAGAGAATCTGGTTATGCATAGAGTAAAATGGTGGTCCAGGATTAGTTTAGTTAATCATGTATAGTTGGCATAGAATCTCGGGCTGGAAAGCATGAGAAAAGAGGTTTGAGTCTGAGAGTGGCCACTTTGTGCAAAAAAATGCCAAAGGTTAGGACATTATCCAGTCTACCCCTCCCAAGACCCCAGATAGCTAAGACCAACATTGGGTAATGGCCTTTTTTAAGTTGGAATAAAGCTTATAGGAGCTCAGATTCATTGTCTACTTGAGCCATACCACATCCATCTTAAATAGATTATCACCCATGGCATTTACTTTTATAAGTTGTACAGGGTTTCCCTTTTTCTGCAAGCTAGAAGTTCTGTTCTATTTTGCATGCTTTGCAAATCATGTGTACTTGGGGATATCCACTTATAAAATTTCAATTATGTTTCAGTGGCATAATGAGGCTAAATGATCGTGCCCGCCAAGATGTTGCAGTTCTTGGTTCTGAGTTTCTTAAGCTTGATGGTAAGTTCTGCTACTTTCTATTCCAAAGTAGTTTAACTTTAGCACTAGTATGTTGTTTAATTTACTACTATTTAATTTTCTGAACTTATATAGTCATTCTTTGTCTCTTTAAATCTTCATTTGGATATAAATTGAATAGCTCGAGCAAGAGAGGACACTGAAAAAATTGATAATAGTGTGAAGAGAAGAGCTGAACGACTGCATCATATAGCCATGGTGTGTCTTTTTTCATAGCTCATTTTCTGTTTTCCTGTAGGCAAATGATCCGTTTTCATGACCTGCTTGTTGATATTGATTAACACCTGTATGCACCATTAGGTCTTAAAAGACAAAGCTCAATCTAAGTTGAAAAGTGCAGCAGAGCAGCATTGGAGCGATGGAGCATTGGAGGTTATTTCATTCCCTTTGTTTGATAGTCTTGATATATTACCTTGTTTAATTTTATGGCTTGGGTGGTAGAAATTATTTTCTTGTTTTTTATTAGTACCAGTAAGTGTGCATGTGCTTTGCACGTGGTAATTCTAGATGATGATAATGATAGTAATAATGTGCCCAAAATTTTCTATAAACTTTATGTATTTTTTATTTTTTTGTTTTTATATATTTTTATTTTTATTATTAATCAGGTAATCTGCATTTGATTACATAAACACCTCATCCAAATATGTGATAATCAAATCGAGTTATGAAGTTTTTAAGTGTCATTGAGAAGCCTATTTTATTGGCTAGATTCTTCTTTTTGTAATATTTAATCTTTTTGGTGTATCTTTTTTTTGCTCATTTATAAAAAAATGTAAGATTTAAATAGAGTGATTTGAATGGGGTGAAAAGTAGTAGTTCAATTTACAATTTAAACCTCATAACGAAATAGGGACTAAATTCAAAAATGAATATTTTAGTCAAAAGAAAGTTTCACAATTTTATTCATATTTTTAATAGTAGTGTAAATATAGAATTATAGATGTGTTCAATTGTTTCTATAGCTCTTTTGTATTTTTGTGTGTAAAAATAATTCTAATGTGCCACACTTACTTTTTGTTTAATATGATAAATATATGATATTATACATGTGCCTAATTTTTTTTTTGCAAAATTTATGTATTTTTTTCATTTTTATATTTTATTAACTTTTATTATTTATTTATGCATTAAAGGTTAATATGTTTGACCCAAAATTTGAACTAATGATCTTGCCAAACAGTAAAATAATTTCATTTTTGGTCAGTTCTATATTATGTATTTCATTTTCATTACCACTAAAAATAATTCTTGTTTATTACACTTTCTTTTTTAATTTGATTAATAAAAATATCATAAATGTGTCTAATTTTTTCTACATTTTTGTAAGGTTCTATATTTATTTCTACTTAAAAATTTTTATTACATAACTATGACTTCATAGGTTGACCAGTTTGATTCAGATGGTTGAATTACTTAGCCACCACTTGAATTAAAAATGGTTTTGTTTTTGAATTAGTTTTATATGGGTTTATATAGTTAAAAATATTGACAGATCTAATTTAATAAGAGAAAATGGGAGTTAATAATTTAAGTATAAGACTTAATGAGAAGGGATTAAATGACATGGGAAGTAATAATTGAAGTTACATTTTCAACCCTTACCATTAGAGATGGACTAAATGCACAATTATGGGCATTTTAGTAGCCATTAAAGCTGGCATTAAAGTTGTAATAAAATAACTTTTATACCCTTTCTCAAACAAAGAAGTAGAGGGTAATTTTAGTCCAAAAAAAGTTTCACATTTGTATTCCCACTTTTAAATATAGTATAGATTCTCTTTTTGTGCCATTTATCATGCCAAATTTGTTAGTAGATCTTTTTTTTTTATCAGCAAAAGAGAATTTTATTTGAAATTAGGGTTAAAATAAAGTTTTACAGTTTTGTGTATGGGATTAATGCTCCCACACTATTACATATTTCTGTCCCACTTTACATTGTAGCCCAAAACAATTGTTGCCTCAAAGCCCCTTGTTTAGCAAGATAATCAGCTAGCCCATTTGCACTCCTTCTAATCCATTTGAATTCAGCCTCTACCTCCCTTGCAACCTTTTCCACTTCTCTTATCACTTGTTTGAAAGTCCACGGAATACTTCTATTGTTTTTAGCCCAAGAGATGGTCACCTTGGAGTTCCCTTGAACCACAATATGCCTCATTCCTAGTTGCTTAGCTATCTTCAGCCCTTGTAGCAATGCCATTAACTCAGCTTTTAGAGAGTTGCCCATGCCAATCGGTCCAGAGAACAAAGCAGTTGTCAACTCCTACTTAGATAGAATAGCAATTGTCAACTCCTACCTTCTATATTAGTAGATCACTGGTTGATTGAACTAATATAGAAGGTAGGAGTTGACAATTGCTATTCTAAGTTTTGTGCCTAAAATGTCTCTCATCTCCCTTCCTTATTTTTCTCTTCTCTACTTTCTGTCATCAGTGACATGCATTACAAGCTGGCATTAGAGTAAGATTGTACCGAAGGATACTGATTTTCCTTATTATTCTAGAGGATCTTTCTTATAGTTAAGATACTGCCTTTGCCTCAAGTGTTAAAAGGAAATCCCTATTTGGCCAGAGCAAAGGAACAGAATTGTTTGGAAATAATATCTGAAGGGAGGATTCTCAATTATGTCCTTCTGTGTGGTTCTTGCTGGAGTAGTGATTGATTATGTTAATGATGAATTGCTCATAGCCATGTTCCCCTCTAGAGAGTTGAGACTATCAAGTGGATTTTCTTCCTGGATGAGATGCTTATGGTTGATGAACCGAACTTTAGAGATCTCAGGATATCCCAAAGATTCATTATATGCAAATCTGTTAAAGGAATAATGCTTTTCTTGTTTATTTTGAGTTTTCTGTGTTGTGAGTATTTTTTTTTCTTCTTTTGGAGAGGGAGCTCTCTCCTAAATGCTGCTTCATCTTGTCTTTCTTCAACTTCTTGATGCTATCCTTTGCTGGGTATTTCCTTCGGTAGGCAGTAGGAGTGCTATCCTCTTGAATTTGGTCCTATTTGTGGTTAATTGGACTCTAGGAGAAAAAGCAATGGAAGAATTTTTGAAGGAATTGGATGACCTTTCTGTGCCAATGCAAGCAATTTTATGATGGATAAGGTTCTGGCTCTGAAAGATTTTTTGTGTATAGGCCTTTATTTTTAGAGGATCATGTTATTGTAATGCACCCAGGAATCAGATGTAAAATTGACTTTTCATAGGCAAAAGTAGTCTAAACATCAATGTATAGATAAAAAGTTAGCATGGTAATAATTTTCTTTTTTGAGAGCCAAGGAAAGTAGTTCATCAAGAGAAGGATTTTAGTGCCTAGGCCAAATAGAAGTTAGTGATATCTCAGATTTTTATATTTTGTTCCAAAACAGGACATTATTGACCAAACTTTGTCTTTCTTGGAGGTTCCATGGTTTTGAAACTTTGTTGTCATAAATATGGCAGGCAACATTATTCATTTACAGGTTTGTACAAGACAGCATAAGTTCAATGTCCATATGACAGACTTCTATGAGGCAATTATATGTCCTTCAGTGTATACTGTATAACTGTTTTGATTCAGCAAATTGTGAATGACATGTGTGACAAAGGAGTAGTAACTTGTCCTTATGGCAGATTTCTAGGATTCACTCCTGGAGAAAGAAATTCCCCATTCCTTCAAGTGAAACCTCAACCTGCTCTTGGTTTCTCTAAATCTGCTCTGTTTTTTCAGATCATAAAGCAATTATATATGAGGTAGCCCTGCAGCTTAGCTTAAACTAAAATCCAGAAAATACTCCCCAACTACACAAATACAAGTGACATAAGTGAAAGCTAGATGCATATATCCCCAAACTACTTGTACAAGAATAACTGGTAATTAGTCCCACCAATTCATAACCCGGGGTTTTCCTAGCTCTTGCACATGCCAGTGCAAAGTTCCCCAATTCTTGTAAAATCTGTCCCAAGATAATTTTTTAAAATTTAATAAACTGTTCTTTTATCATTAGCTAAGTGAAATGCACAAAAGGGAGAAAATGAGATACAAAGTCTATATGATCTACCAACAAAAAGAAAAAAAAAGAGAAAAATGGCAATCCTAAGGCCTCAAGATACCCTATTTATGAGGGTGTCAATTATATGAAAATACAAAATTACCTTTCTGTTGGAAAGGTATATCTCAGTACAAATTATTCCTCATCATGTCCACTCTAGCAAGCCTATCTGCCACTGAGTTAGTGGACCTCAGAACCACCATTCAATTTAGATGTCAAAGATATGACCTCTTTGAAAGGATGATTCAGCCTCTCTGGTCCCAAAGGTATATATTTCAATCAACCAGTTACAATTTAGAGGTAAAAAAGGCTATTACCCAATGTCACTCCCAGATATCTGGGGTCTTGAGAGGAGTGGACTGGATACTGACCTAACCTTTGGCATTCTTTTGCACAAAGTGGCCACTCTCAGACTTGAACCCAGATCCTCACACTTGTCAGCCTGACAATTTACCATTACACCAAGCAGTGGCACCTCAGTTACAATTTAGAGGTCCACTTCTATAATGATCCACTCGAGTCCTAGCAAAGAAGACAATCTCATACCTTGGGCAAGGTATAACCAAATAACACATCCTCATAGAGTAGGAAATCAGGGAATACCATCCTGTGTTGTCCCTGAAAAACTCCACACCTGGATGGGTCTGTTACCCCAATTGTATCTGTCAAAATTAAGCTTGATATCAGATTTCGGAGGAAGATCCATGCAACTAGCATGCATCCACCTAATTCAAAAACAAAATGATTTGTATAGTTGGAGAGATAATAACTGATGAATTTTAATTGAAATTTCATTCATAGACACAAAAGTAGAATACATGCACATCCTTTTGCACTCATAAGAGGAAACTACTTTTGCACAATCACATTGTCGAAGTATTACATTACAATCACATTGTTGACATTTGGAGAAACTGGGAATTAGTTGCAAAATCTTCTTTGGTTAAGGAAAAACCTGTTGTAACCTGGAAGCCCCCTGACGAATGCTTCATAAAGCTAAACTTTGATGGCAGTAGCCTTGGTAATCCCGGGCCTTCTGGTATTGGAGGTGTATTCAGGAATGCAGAGGGTCAGATTGTTGCCTTATTCTCTGGTCCAATCGGAGTGGGGGGTGTGGTTAATGCAGAGGTCCAAGCAGTTTTACAGGGAGCACAGATTGCTAAAGAGTTGAACTTCGGGAGTTTGGTCATTGAAGGAGACTCTAAATTGGTAACTGGGTGGTTGAAATTGGCTAATGGGCTGGAAGACCTACTAGCTAAGCAAGGGATGCACAAGGATCATTTATTTTGGGCTCAACTGTAATTTTTCTTTGTTTTTGAGGCACCACCTCACGCCTCTTTGGGGATCTCTTTCCTATATCTTTTGTTAGTTCACCTTGATTAATTTTAATAAAATGCTTTATTACTTACCAAAAAAAGTATTATATTACAATCAAATAATTCTTGAAAACTGTTTTTGTTGCTTTCCAGGCGGATTTGCGGCGAGCTGACGTCATTGTTAAGCGGCGAGCCATGGAAGATGCCCTAATGGCTTTGGAGGTAAAAGTATTTGCTATCAGTCGTGTTGTAATATATTCTAGAAGAGATGCAGGTTTATCCAGTTAGTTTTATTTTGACGTAGCATAATTGAATTACTTTAGATCAAACTACTTTTCTATGATTACACTTATCTGACTTGATAATTTTATATACTACATTTTCTTACTGTCCATATTGAAGGGAGGAAACATTAAAAAATAATACTCTTTTTGCTTCGTGATCTTGCAGTTTGTCAAGAACATTCATGACATGATGGTGACTAAACTGTGAGTTAAACTATGCAATGTGATTTAATTATTTTGATTTCTTCATTTTTTTTTAATATGGAAAATCTCTGCACCTCATACCATGGAATTTAATCACTAACTGTTAGTCATGCTATCATTTACATAGGAAACAAGGTTCTCTATCTTCTGATGATGACATGACAGATTGTATAGTACTTGAAAAGAACGGAAAGAGTCTTGATATCTTTCCTGAAGTCTCTACTGATCGTATTACTGCCATTCAGGTATTTTATTTTTCCCTCCTTTTGGACAAGTATCATTCAGGTACTTACCGTGCATAACTGTTTCCTTTATTATTTCTTTTTAATCTCTAAATTAATATCACTATTTTCATGGTTAATAATTTATAGGATGCTTACTGGAGTATGGCATCAGCTCTATCTGAAGCCGATGGCATTGACTACACTAATCCTGAAGAGGTCTGATCCTGAAAGATTCTTGCTCTTCTTTGGAATTTTGCTGTTTACTTATGCCATGTTAATGAAGCTTTGATTTTCTACTTTGAGCAGCTTGAATTGTTAGTTGCAACTCTGATTGATCTTGATGCAATGGATGGTAAAAGTAGTGCCTCGTTATTGGCAGAGTGTTCAAGCTCGCCTGATGTCAATACCAGGTAAGCATTACTCTCTAGCATTTATTTGCTGAAGTGTATTATTTATAATCTCACTAATAAAATCCAATTGGCTAGTCCTGAAAACTTCCAACTTACAGTATTTTCCTTCTTTATTTTTATTTTTGAAGCTTGATTATGAAAATAAACAATCTTTATTTTTTGAACAACAATTGCAACTTTATCATTTCTCCACTGATCAAGTTCAATATGGATCATTTGCAAAAAAGCATACAACATGGAAGTGAAGGTTATCCTCACTCGTATTTTGAGCTTTGATCTTTTGAGACTCAAGTTGTGTTCTTTTGTTTTGGTTTGTTTACTGTTTCTATGTAGGAAAGCGCTAGCCAATGCATTGGCTGCAGCTCCATCTATGTGGACTCTTGGAAATGCAGGCATGGGAGCATTGCAGGTAGCTTATTTCGTCAAGCATTATGATCAAATGAGTTCTATTTTCAGATTATGTTTCTTCATAGAGATACTTAATATCTTAGTTAATTGGATAGAGGCTAGCACAAGACAGCAACCCAGCTGTTGCTGCTGCAGCGTCCAAAGCCATAGAAGAATTGAAGAGACAGTGGGAAATAGAAGAGGGAGATAGTTGGAGGTTCACAATGAAACAAATAGCAATGGAAATAGATATGGAAGAAGAAGCTGATGAAGATGCTTAGACAGGCCAAGTACAGTTATGTTTTATTGTGAATATTTGCATGAGAAAAGATTATCGGGCATAAATAAGTTTCAGAGCTTACAGGACCAATGAATGCATTATTCTTCCTAGTTCCAACAGCAAGAGAAGGAGCTCACAAGTCACAACCTAACCAAAGATTGTCTTGCAATGTTTAGCTCGCATAGTTATCTAATGGGAATAGTGTATTTCATAATTTTGAAATGTTTAGCTTCTCCCCTAAAGCCACAGAAGTTACTGAGTTCGCTGATGTCTCCTCAAATGTAAGAAGTGCTTCCAATGATGCTTCAATGATTAGCTTGTATAGTTATCTAATGGAAATAATGTATTTCGTAACATTAACCTCTCCCCAAAAGCCACAGAAGTTCTCAGTTTACAAATGTCTCAAATGTGAGAAAGAGTTTGTATTGTTTAGCTTGTAAAGTTATCTAATGGCAATAATGCATTTCATAATTTTTGCAATGTTTCTTTTTCTTCTTTGATCAATAACCATCAATTTTACTATTATAAAACAGTGAAATATATATATATAATCTTTACCCTCTTTTTCACTTCATTTCTGTAAGACCACAGAGCAGCCTCTCTTTTCTACAACCACCACCCTATCACTAATTATGAATATACTTTAATAACCTTTTTTCTTTGATAAGTTACTTTAATAATCTTTTTGCTCACCTTCAGCCCTCCTAAAAGCCACACATAAAAGTTCTTTGTTCACCAATGTCTCCCCAAATGCGTTTGATGCCATCATTATGATGTACAAATTGGATCTCTTTGTATATAATGGACCTTTAATTACTAGCTTAATGTTGCAAATGAGCAAAGAAAAAGAAAACTTGTAAAATCTAGACACCCCCCTTTATTCCTTAGAAAATAACTCTTATAACTTGAAAAATCTATTTATTGTTTATTGGAGCTTTTATTTATCAACATAAACCTCCATAGCAGGGGACTAAGGTATTATTCCTTTTGACTTTATTAATAAGCTGTTGCTTTATTATTCCGTTCTTATGTAGAAGATTATTTTTGGGGGGAAATGGTTTCCTATAATTGGGTGAAATACTGAATCTCCTTATAGGGCCTTAAATCTCTACAATAGGCATTTCGGTGGGTTCAAAAGCTGATATCTATCCATGAAATACACTGATACATGAAATATTTTGAACCTTGCTTCTCTCTCTCTCTCTCTGGTTACATGTTCCACATGGCTAATACAAGAAAAAAAGGGTGTCTCTTGGCCACTTAAGCTGCAGACCAAGGAGAGGCAGATTAAATTCTTGCCATATATAAAAAGAACAGTAAAACAATCCCAAAATAATGGGTAGTTGTGGTTATTGAGAGAGCGGTGATTATTACATATAATAATGTAGGGCTGGGTTGAGGTGGGTTGGGGTAGTCCCCAATTCAAAGTCCACACCTCAATCTAGTATGGACCCAAAAACATACAAGGCCCAATATCCATTGCAGAAGTAATGCCAAGAAAATACTTTTTATTTGATCCCCAAACTAAAACTAGGGGCTTACAAATTGCACCAAAACTATAGAGAAAAGAAAAACCTAATTTCTAATCCTCCACTGGCACTGAGACAAATTAGCTCAAATTTTCAGGCTTCATGGACACTTGGGTTTTCCCTCTTTGGTCTTCATGTTGCTATAGCATGGACAGGCATTCTTTTTTCCATAGGTGCCAGGAGGGACACACTTGCATTTGGAGCAGCACATGAGGCAGAACCACATACAAGCCGACTTATGTGATGTAGCCGAGCAGCGACGCCTACACTTCGGCCTGCAAAACTCTGCAAAACCAAGTCTCACTAGTTATTTTTCTGGTACAGTAGAGCTTGGATGCAACAGTTAGGTACTGAGTACAAGGAACATGGGGAAATGGGTTAGGGAAGCTGAGAAGTGGGGGGGTTTCTGGAGGGGTTTCACTACGTACCCTTCAGCAAGGAATCAAGCCAATGTGGTTTCCCGTAGGTTGGTGACTGCAGAGAGGAGAGTAAGAATTGCCTAAGATAATCCAGGAGAGGGGTCTGTGGGAATGTCGGTGGTGGGAGGGTCCCCCTGTAATTTATTGTTTATATTTCTTATTTATTAAATGGAGAAGTTGATTTCTAGACTCTTATAATCATGGTTCAAAGTATCGCCCATATGGCGGAAGGGGTGTATCAGTACTTTGCACCACACATAAGTTTTTTTTTTTTTTTTCAAAAATATCAGAGGGGAAGGTTTTTACATGGTTTAACATATAAAACAAGGGTTTGGGGATTATCCTTAAAAAAGGTATATCAATAGGGTGTCAATACGAAATTTTGAACCTTCCTTCCTTGTAATACATGCTCTGTTGGGTTGATTAGACCGGACCTAATGCACTTAGACTTAGTTGGGTCTATGGTGGTCTGCGCTCTTACACTGAATGCCAAATTACAAACAAACAGTATTCCTGGAATCTGGATACAAGTATAATAACTTACTATTTGACGACGACCGGAAATTGTCATATGCCTGTAAGAAAGGTGAGAGCTAAAGATGAGAGAAAATTTACAACAGACTAGTTCACCAACAGTCACTAAGGATGGGTATCAGTGCTACCTCTGCTACACTAGACAATGCAATTAGAAGAAGCACAAACAAGAGCAACAAGTGGGAACTGCGACGATTGCTTCCAGCCATGTCTGCAACTGCTTGGTCTCTGGTCTCTTACAGTCTCACTCTCTCCCTAACAAAGGTCTCTTAGATTTTAGCAGACACAGAAGTTAAGAAACTGGGTCTAACTTATAGAGCTTCCGAGTGTACGATCAAGTGTAAGGATGCGTTGTTTGAGGCGTGAAAATGGGCTGGAAGTCGGTGGATAGCTCATGGAAGGAAAGCGATAAAAGCGGCATGTTTACACTGCAGTCTGCATGTGCTTTGCCTCTGCTATTCTACTCAATTGCTTCCTTTCTCATTCTATTTCAATGGTATTATTAATAATTTAGTAATAACTTCTGATCTCCTTATCATTTAAATATATGAAAGATAACTCAGATTCTCAGCAGATATCTTATTCCCAATTGGATCTGTGTATCAACACATGGAGCTGTTTTGTTCACTATCTATGATTAATGAATGGATCATGCGGTCAAGGGTAAGGGAACATGGGAGAGTCGGCATTGGGCCATTTGCTACCTAGGTTGCAAATGGATTGGATTTTGATCCAATTCAAATTAAAATCCAATAGGTTTAAGTTAGATTTGGATTTTGATCTGATTTTGGTTCAAATTTATAACTTCGTTAGTAAGAGCTTGTCTTACACCATTGGTCCCCACCCCGGATAAACGATGGTTGCACCAGGTTGGCAGCCAACATTGAAACTCTTGCGGAATTCTCATGATTATGGATCTTAATTTGTCTTTTCATAGCATCAAACAGAATGAAATGATGAAATGGAATTCATGTAGCCAATCCCTTATAGTTGAGACAAAGCTTAGATGATAATGGTGATGAAGATGCTTTAATATAATAAATTGTGCTAATTTTATATAGAGTTGTTAATAATATTTTAATCAAATCAAATATGTTTACAAATTAAATTTGAGAATGTGCTTTACAAATCAATGGGATCGAATTCAGATCTCTCAGATTCTTATCACATCAGATTTGGATGTATCCCAATTCGAATTCAATTCGATCTGTTTGCATCTCTAGCCAATACTTGGTCAGATAACCTGGTCGAGCCATTGAGAGGCCGCCGAAGGCATTGGTAATTGTTCCAAAACTCTGAAATTTGCAGTTGTTTACTCTCTAATCATCATCTTTGTTGTGGCTTTAACTAAACGCCAATGTGGAAGGTGGAGTATATGCGTTAATAGTACAGTAAAGGTCTAAAGGACATGCTTTGCACCAAAGAAAATGTTCGGAGTAATTGCTTGAGAGGCAATTTAACCAAAAGATTCCTTGCTGGAAAGAGAGATCATCAATTCTATTTCTGTCATCTCATCCAAAGAGCAAGGCACTCACTACCCCACTAGTCTTAACTAATGCATAGCAAAGCAACCAGATGGTCATATCCTAAGCAATCACTCTGAACATCTTTTCTTTGGTGCAAAGCATGTCCTTTACTGTAATTCCGTCGAGCTCGAATCTCCTGCAAACAAAATTTTGGTCATCACATATTGGGAATATCTCTTCATGAATGGAGATATTCCCCATGTACAACTGAATTCCCATGCTTTAAGTGTGTATAATTTTTGCTTATGGTGAATCCCATCACATATAATCCACCTTCACATTGGCGTTGAGTAGAAGCCGCAACAAAAATGATGAGTAGAGAAGAAGGCTCAGTTTGCGAAGAGTGCAAATACAAGGTTTAGACACACCAAATACAAGATTTTGCACTGTACATGTTTGCTTTTACACTCCTCCCAAACTAGGCCTAAACAACTGCAGATTTCAGAGTTTTGGAACAATTACCAACACCTTCAGCGGCCTCTCTATGACCCGACCAGGTTATCTGACAAAGTATTAGCCCAGTCAACTGGTTTGAATAAGAAGAAATCAAAAACTGAACCTATAGTCAACAGGCCACATATATAGGGCTGTGAATGGTTGGGGCTATCCAACAAACCTGGACCAAACCGAGCCATTTATATTAGGCCTGGGTCTGCATTGTGTCCTGATTATAATTGGGTCTGATTGTTCTGAACCAATTAAGACCTGAACTGATTATGTATATAATTGTATGTAAATTATGTGTTTGTAACTTTGTATATTAGCATATTAGAAAGATACTGTCTAAAACCTATTTTTCTCATAATATAATTGTAACATTTTTTTTATTGATCAGCAAAAGAACTGATAATTTTAGTAAAATGAATTAAATTTTGAAATTACAAGAAGTCCAATCAAATCCCACAAGGGACAAAAGTTACAATTGCGTCCAAAACAATTATTGCCTATACCATCCCATTTGCAGTCCTTACTCAATTGAAAGTAATGTTCAGCTCCTATTTTATGCTTTCAATTTCCCTAAAATTATGCCTATATATCCATGGCATGAGCCGAATATTCTTTGCCCAAGAGATCATAAGCTTTGAATCCTCCACTACTTCCAACTGTTGAAGTAGTGCCATCAATTCTGCCTTTAATGAGTCTCCCAACCCCGAACATGGTTTTCAAAATTATACCGAATCATATGGTCAGACCAAAAAAACCGGGAACTGGTTAGGTGATTGATTCCGTTTTTCCCCAAAATTGGATTTTCTCAAAAACCATTGATTTTGGTCAGCAAACTGTTGACCCAAGCGGTTAACCATTCGAATCGTTTGAATGGTTTTTACCATGGTTTTAAAACCAACCTAGTGACCGATCAGGGGTCCGGTTACTGGGTCAAACAATCCAATCGTTTAAACCGAATGCTCGGCCCATTCTAAAAAAATAAATAAATAACAGTCAAAACCATTCGAACAATTAACCACCCGATTCAGCAGTTCGCTGACCAAAATCAACAGTTTTGGGGGAAAATCCAGTTTTTGAGAAAAACGGAACCAATCACTTGACCGATTCCCAGTTTTTCCGGTCTGGTCCGGTTTTGAAAACCATGGTTTTGACCGTTTTTTATTTTTGTTTAATTTTTTATTTTTTTTGTCAGAACAGGTCAACCGTTCGGTTCGAACGGTCAAACTGTTCGACCCAGGAACCAGACCCCTGACCAGTTTGTTCTCCGGGTTGATTTTTAAAACCTTGGACCTGAATACATAGCCAAAACTTTCCCTGTGCAGTCTCTAAAACTCCTCCGATACCTGCCATACCAGTGTTTCCCATGAAACTCCCATCAAAATTCAATTTTATTTAATTTGTTGCTGGGGTGACCATATCATAACCCTCTTTTCCTTTTCTCTTGAGGCACCACTTCAGACCATGCCCTTATGATGTCATTAACTGAGAAATCTTTGAATGCATCAATTATCTTTATCCAGTGAGCTGCTCTGATTAGAATAACTTCACATAATTCCTCCTTTGATCTGTTTTTCTCATTAAAAATTCTTCCATTTCTTTCCTCCCAAACAGTCAATACCACTGCATTTCATATTACGATGTCCAAATGTGTCAATTCCAAAAATCAGTAGGTTGGTTGTCAAATTACCGGTTAAAGGATGGATATCGACTCTAATCGGATCTAACTAGGTCATACCCAATAGTCCCGATCACGGACACTATTGAGACTAGGGTCTGGTTTGGAACTGAATCTGCACAGGAGTCAGGACCAGTCTCTGCCCTAACCCAGACCAAACCCAGCCCTATGACAGTACTAAATGAGGTCAAATCCAAACATTTCATATGATTCAAGAATAGATAATATGTACCAAAATTATGAATGATTTTTATACATTTTGAAACTATTGATTACATCAGATGTGAACAGGGTACATTAAATGACGCGGCTCACATAGAATAGTTGATGAATGACTGGGCTGAGGCAAGATCTCTTACAGTTGCATTTTCATTCAAATCCAGAAGCTGCGTGACCAAGTGCCACCATACATGTTCACTGTGTAGGCAAAGTTCTGAGCAAATGCAGTGCACGCATCCACTCTGGTCCCTGTGAAAGAACAATCCTCCTCAATGCTGGAACTGCCCCAGCAGCTATGATGGCTGGATGATTCTCGGAATCCATGCTTAGGTTATACAGTATAGCCAAGCTAGCTTCCACAGCCCTGCCACTCCCTTCTTCAATTACCTTTACCAATGGGAAAATCCCTCCCTCTGCAGCAACCTTTCTTGTGCAATCTGCCACTCCTTTGGATACTATACTGTTAAGTTCAACAACAGCAGCTTCTAGTGCTTCTGAAGAGAAAGACGTTTTAATCTGTTCAACTAGTCTTGGAATTGTCTCATAAAGAGCTACCTCCATGTTAATAGAGCTACTAGGATCTGTATGGGAACCAGACAATGACTCAAGTTTTACAAGGCACGCTGCAACCCAATCTTTGTTATGAAGTGGGATGTCTGATTTCAGTACTTTACATAGCACCCTCATCATTTGCAATGATTTTATTGCAGAACGAAACTTCTCAAAATCTAGCAGTTTTGTTAACAGTCTAGATGCTGCAGATATTGCAAGACCAGCTTCTTCAACTTGTAAGGCATTAATATCTGGCTTCAAACCATCAATATCATCTTCCATGTCTGCCAAAATATCAAGGAGAATTATACTTGAACACTAACCAGAAGAATATACAAAAGTACACGAGTATCACTGCCTCGTCAATTGGTTGTATTGACTGGATAAAAAGCCATGGATTCATTGTTGTGGAATCGTGTTAATCAATTTTAAGAGACAAATGATGCAATTAAGTGATAAGATGAGAAAATAGCTCCTAATTACATAATTCATAAGCAGAAAGCATGGTCAACAAAGATCTGGGTGCCAAATGGGAAAAAAATATAGGTATTGTTCTATTTAAAGTGCAGTTTTATAAGAGCCTACACAAGGAAAGGAAGGGCTTTAGAAGTAACTAAGTAATTTTTACTTCTGAACATCCAGCGGTTTCACCGTTTCATAATACCATGTACAAGCACAACACTATAGTTAAATGGATTATCAATTAATCTCGCCAGACCTGTAATTGGGCCAAGAGTACTTGACCTTCTAGGACCAATATGATGACAGACAGCATGGAGCTTTGGGACCTCTTAACCTTTTAGAGTTGTATGAAAAGAGACAATACAATCTGCCATATGGATAATGAAAAAATGTAGGTCCAAAAGCCCCTGGGATTAGGCTATGCAATGTTTTTAAGATCCCTGAACCTAGGATTTGAACAGGTTAGAAAGCAGTTGGGACTTGGGAGCATGATTTTTAGTACTTTATCAAATTTTAACTTTTGGGTGGGGAGGTGTTTTATGTGGGAACCAGTAGCCAAATTTTCAAAAGTTCAGTTCAGGCATTCTTAGTTTTTCATCACATTTTTAAGCATTTTTCTTACTTGTAAACCCTAGAAATTAAAAGCTTTGAATTAAAAACTTTTCTGGTACAGCATTTTCTAAATATCAATTAGCAATTCGGTCAAGATGTACAAAATCTATTATTAAGAGATGTCCTTCTAGAAAAGTCATTGAAGAATTCTGTCTCTTGGCACCATTTTACATTTCTGTCCATGACCTCCAACCTAAAATAGCCTCCTCAGTATCATCATGATAACTCAAACAAACAGAAAGAGTAATTTGCCAACACAGAACCTATGATGTAGGAGGAGGGAGGGTAGAGAGGGGCTGATTCTCAAAGTGGATATTGAAAAGGCTTTTGACCATGTTAGTTGGAGTTTCCTGAACTATGCTCACAAGAATGAATTTCAGCTCCAAGTGGCAAAACTAGATCAAGGTTTGTGTAGCCAGTCCCACTTTCTCAGTCCTCAATGGTGTTTCTTGTGGTAGGTTTAAAAGCTCAAGAGGTCTAAGGCAAGGAGACCCTTTGTCTCCCTTCCTTTTCAATATAATTAAGGAAGCTCACTTGTAGGGCAACAGATAGTGGTCTCCCTCATGGGTTTAAAGTCGGTGAAAGAGGTACTCAGATCTCCCTACTTCAATTTGCTGATGACACTGTCTTCTTCTATGACTACTCTTCGAATCAGCTGGCCTGTTTGGGTTACATTCTCAGATGGTTTGAAGCAATTTCAGGCCTCAAAATTAACTTACCTAAGAGTGAATTGTTGAAGACAGAGGAAGGTCTTCCTGATCCCAGTATGGCTAGTGTCTTGGGCTGTAAATCTGGAAATCTGCCAACCACCTACCTTGGTCTTCCCTTTTTTTTTTTTGATTGATAACAGAAATCTTTATTAATGAATAATACTTGTGAAAATTAATTACAGAAAATGAGGAGGTAAACTATTTTAACTCCCCAACATCAAAATGGCAACAAAATACAAAAACTGTGCCCAAAACAAAAAGTCCTTAGCCACCCCTTGCTTAGCTAACCCATCAGCCATTGAGTTAGCACTTCTCTTCACCCAGCTGTATTGCACCTCTAAGTCCTTACACAGCCAATTAATTTTTTTCTTCTCATTGCTGTAGCTCCACAAGCCATTGATATCTCCTTTCAGCCACCTGATCACCACCTTCAAGTCCCCCTCAATCACTAAGCATCTAATGCTTAATTCTCTTGATCTTTGGATTCCTTCAAGAACTGCTAGAATTTCGGCCCTAAGAGAGTCACCCTCTCCAATTGGCCCAGAGAACATGGCAGTAATATACCCCTCCTCATTCCTGAAAACACCCCCTATCCCAGAGGGCCCTGGATTCCTTAAGCTACATCCATCAAAATTCAGTTTTATGAATCTGGCGAGAGGGGGGGTCCAAGTGGGACTACTGTTCCTTTTATACATAACAGCAGTAGCAATCTCTTTCCACTTTCTCAGCATGTCTGCCATAGAAATTCAGAGAATATCTCCATTGATTTCAGCCAATGAGCAACCCTTGAAAGTATCAAATCTGTTAGGTTTTCTGTGGTTCTTTCCTTATCTGAAAAAAATCGTGAATTTCTTTCTTCCCATATTGACCAGCACACTGCAGCCCTAATGCTTCACATAATCTTCCTCCTTCTCTTAGGCCAACTAAAGAAAGAATGAGAGAACAAGCATTGCACACTCACGGGGGGATTCCAAGTATACCCAAAAAGGGAAAACACCCACTCCCAAACTGTCTTAGTAACTGGACAAGTAACCATAATATGATAACCCGTTTCCCCATCAGCTTTGCAAAGAATACACCTATTGGGAAGTAAACAGCAGTTGGGCCTCTTTCTTTGAAGCAAGTCATTTGTGTTAAATCTTTCCGGGAAAATTTCCCAACAAAAACTACCAACCTGAGGAGTAATGGGTTTGCTCTAAATCTCTTTAACCGGGAATGACAACCCAAGTGGAGTAGTAGGTTGGACTAATATCTCAAAAAACGAAGCACAAGAGAAAGAGTCGGATGAAGAAGGGGTCCAGATTCTGGTGTCTCCCTTACTAGGGTTCAAGAAAACATTTTCAAGGATGGTTAGCAAAGATGACATACACCCCAAATCTGTATCCCTTGTTGCCCTTCTCAACCCTAGATTCCACCCAAACCCAGAAGAAGAATCAGAAGGAACCAAGAAGGAGGAAATGGGTTCATTTTTCAAATCTGATAAAGCAAACAATGATGGAAATTGGTCTTTCAGGGGTAGGTCCCCAACCCAAATTTGCTCCCAGAATTTTATTCGGTTACTGGAGTTCAAATCGTACCTGATCCAAGGGGAGAAAACTGGAAGCAGATCATGAATGGCTTTCCACGGGGATGTGACAGTAGTCCTTGCCAAAATTCCAGGATCCCAGTCATTCTCATCCAGCCCATGTATGCTAGCCACAATCTTCGTCCACAATTTGTCCCTTTCCAACAGGAATCTCAACAACCATTTCCCCAATAATGCCATGCTCCTTTTCCTGATATTTCCAATCCCAAACCCCCCTAGCTTCTTGCTCCTATTTACCACTTCCCACCTCACCTTATGGTCTTTCTTCTCCACTCCTGGTTCCCATAAAAAATCCCTCATTAATTTTTCTATCCTGTTGGAGACCTTTGTAGGAATCTTAAACACTGACATGAAGTAAATAGGAAGGTTGGAAAGGGTAGACCTAATCAAGGTGATTCCTCCAAGAAGCAAGCCTTTTCTCAAATCTCTCTACTACCGGGTTCCAAAAGCTTTCATTCTTGGGGTTATCTCCTAGGGGGAGGCTCAAATAAGTGATAGGCCACTCCGAGATAGCGCACCCTAACACACATGCACAATCACTTACTTCCCTTTCCTCCAAATTCACTCCCACCACACAACTCTTATCGAAGTTCACTTTAAGATCAGACATCTGCTCAAAGAGTTGTATTGTCAGTTTTAGGTTTCTGATCCATCTTATATCCCCACCCTCACAAAATAGGATTGTGTCATCTGCAAACTGCAAGTGTGTAAGTGGTACTTCCCCCCTTCCGACTCTCCAACCTCTTATCAAGTCTCTAGAGTTGGCTCTATGTATCAGTCTCCCCAGGACATCTGCAATCAGAGTAAAGAGAAAGGGGGAGAGCGGATCACCTTGTCTTATTCCTCTCATGGCCGGAAAGAAATCCACCACAGTTCCATTCACCAACATCTAGTAATGGCAGCTCCTGATACAACCCCAGATCCATCTACACCATCTGTCTCCAAAACTAAAACTTTTCATTACCTCCACTAAGAAGGACCAGTCAACTAGGTCATAAGCTTCTCTAAGTCTAGTTTGCAAACCACTCCCTTTTTCTTGGATTTCCTAAAATTCTCTAAGCTTTCATTTGCAATCAAAATTTGATCAGCGATCTGCCTTCCCTTCACAAAAGCTCCTTGATTGGGTGTGATAATGGCTAGAAGAACTTTCTTAATTCTTAGAGACAAGACTTTTGCAATTATCTTGTATAGATTATTCACCAAACTAATCGGCCTGAAATCCCTTGGATGTGATGCTTCTTTCTTCTTAGGACCAATGCAATGAATGTGGAGTTTAACCTCAGATTAATGATTCCCCCTCCTGTGGAACTCCTCAAAAACCAACACTAGGTCCTTCTTCACAATATCCCAACAATCCTGATAAAATGCCATTGTAAATCCATCTGGGCCTGGAGCTTTCGTTCTATCCATTGAAAATACCGCTTCCTTTATCTCCTCTAAGTCAAAGTTTTTCTCTAACACCACCCTAATTTCTAAACTAAGAGTTGGCCATTCCAGCCCTCCACCCAAATCCTCTCATTTAGAGGCCTTCCAAAAATTGATTTAAAATGGGTTGCAAAAGCCTATGCTGTTTCTGCTGGTTGGGAAAGAACAACTCCATCAACTTCTAGCTTAGAAATGATTTTCTTCCTTCTTCTGGTGTTTGCCACAGAGTGAAAAAATCTAGTGTTTCTGTCTCCCTCCTTTAACCATTTACATCTAGACTTTTGTCTCCAACTTATCTCTTCCTACAATAAGAGATCCTCCAATTGCTTTCTAACCCTCCATCTCAATTCTTTGTCTTCTTCTCCAAAAGAACCCCTTTCCTCCTTCAAGTCCAGTTCCTCAATTTGCTCCATTAAAATCTTCTTTCTGTCACAAGCTGAGCTCTTTCTCTTCAAGAATTTGAGCAAATCAGCAGTTCAGATTTATAGAGAACTCTTAGGGTCTCCTTGTGATCCAAGCTTGTATTTGGTGTGTTGACTTGACACCTGATTGGAATGTACTTGTTTTTTTCTTCAATAAAACTTTTCTTCTTTATTCTTCAAAAAAAACTTCCAGGCTTACCATTTATATTCTCGTAATTACTATTTTTAGTAAACTGACGATTTGCTAATTTTAGTAATTTCTGGTGTCTTTACATTCAATTGGTATTAATAGGACTAGGAAAGTGTTATTAGAGATGTTTAATGGTTAAGAGTCCTTATTTGAGTATCCCTACAGGTTACCTATGGATTTGTCTCAGTTTTAAAGCTTAGAAGTTGATTTGGGTAATTGGATCAGTTTCCTTGTCCAACTTAGATCTGTAAAGGGACATCCAAATTCACAAATTAAGCCTATAGATAGAGTCAGAGTTAAAAAAAATGTTGATTTGAAGAAATAAAGTTTGGCTTAACAAATTCTGGCTGTTGCCAGGATTTTCACCTAATTCTTGTTGTTTGCCACAACAGCAAGAGTTCTACTGTTTCGTCTAACTCCTTGCTCATTATTTGGTGGACAGCAAGCAGTCTACTTGCTTTTCTACCTCTTTTCTTCATCCTTGATCACCAAAAGCTCCTCCTTCACCTCATAAAGCCCACTACCAGATCTGAAATTAGTAGGACCCCTACCCTGTCCTACATTACTGAGACATTTGTATTGGACAGAGTGTAGATGAGACAGCATTCCTAATTCCTAATTGTTCTTCAATTCAACTAAGAAGTTCACTAGAATGATCAGGGAAACAACAGGAAAATAAGTTCTGGCAATATCTTACCAAAAGTTTTACAGTAGGATAGATACTTGTTACTTACCATCTAAAAATATTTGTTGGAAAACAGAATAGATCCCAGCTTCAATATCTGCTGCAATGATTTTATCCATGCATGGTTCAATAACTGCTATATATTCAAGGATGGATGCAGCTTTTCTTTGCAAATTTGGGGATGATGTCTTCAAGATGTCAGCAAGGCAAGAAATGAAACCAAAATCTAATATACTTTCCCTGAGATGGTATGCAGAACTGCATTAGATTAATATCATGTCTACCACACAATTTAATTACAACTCTAGATAAAGATTACAAATTCTAAAAATAGCATGCATGTCCAAACATGATTCACCGTGTAAATGTGAATTGAATGGGTTACATTGTTCAAATGAAAAATGAGAACCACAAAAAACCTTAAAATACTGCTGGAATTTGAATAATCTCAAAATAAATGCATCTTGTCAACATATTGATACTGCTCTACATAAGGCTTCGCAATTTGAAGCAACACTCTTCAACAAATAAAAGATACAAATACAGGTATCCAGGAGACTAATAAACAATGGCTTTTCAAGCTATATTGATGCAAGGGATAAATTGAATTCCTACATAATGCATGAAAGCATTTAGATATATGGATCAACAGATCCACTGATGGAAGGACTGATAGCATCATAAATGACACATTGATGTAAAAAAATAAGTTGCACAATCTTCCCAAAAGGACGAAGATATTTTTCCAGACTCGATTATCATAGAAGTTTGATATGAACTGTAGCATGAAAAGCACAAACAGAATCAGAAAGTAAACTTGTTTTTCTTCAACCTGAAGATACCTATTTTTCCTTTTTCCATGTTTTAGACCCATCAGTTTGCTGAATAGCTTTTATAAAAATTCTGGCAAAGGTCCTAGCAGAAAGATTGAAAACAGTTCTGATTACTGTGATTACAAAGAATCAATTTACATTTGTGCCAGGTAGACAGATGCTAGACAGTGTTTTGGTGGCAAATGAGCTGATAGACTCAAGGAAAAGGGAGGGAAATTTAGGGCTGATTTGCAAACTGGATTTGGAGAAGGCCTATGACCATGTCAACTGGAAATGCTTGGATTTTGTCTTGGAGAAGATGAACTTTGGACAGAAATGGAGGAACTGGATCAAAGTATGTGTTTCTTCCCCCAAATTTGCAGTTCTAGTAAATGGAGAATCAGCTAACTTCTTTAAAAGCTCCAGAGGCCTCAGGCAAGGGGAGACCCCCTTTCCCCTATTCTGTTTATTTGTATAATGGATATATTGTCTTTATTTGTTAACCGAGTTGGTGAAGAGGGTTTGTGGAAGGGGTTTGAATCAACTCCAGGAGGAGAAAAAGTTCAATTACTTCAGTTTGCAGATGACACCTTGTGTTTTATTGATGCGGATCTAGATCAATTGGAGGTTATGCTTGGGGTGCTGAGTTGGTTTGAAGTGGTGACAGGCTTGAGAATCAATTGGGCCAAGGGTAGAGTAATTCCAATGGGGAAGATAGAGAATCTTGAAACTCTAGCAGATGCTCTTGCATGTCAGATTGGTTTTCTACCAACAATATACCTAGGCCTCCCCTTAGGGGCTAAATGTTCCTCCTCCCTAATATGGGATCGGTGGTGGAAAGATTAGAAAGGAAACTGGCCTCCTGGAAAGCCAAATACCTTTCCTTGGAGGGTAGAATCACTCTCCTAAAAAGTTCTCTTTGTAATCTTCCCTCCTACTTCCTCTCCCTCTTCCCAATACCCACTAAAGTGGCTCATAAATTAGAAAGGCTTCAGAGAGATTTGCTTTAGAAAGGTTGGAAGGAGAAAAAGAAAATTCATCTGGTCAGTTGGAAACAGGTTTGTACTCCAAAGGAAAAAGGTGGTTTGGGGGTGAGAAGTCTAAAAACTTTTAATAGAGCTTTAATGGGAAAATGGATTTGGAGGTTTGCAAGAGAAAGAGTTAGTTGGTGGAGGAATTTAATTGCAGCCAAGTATGAAACAGATAGAGGGGACTGGCTAACCATTTCAAACTTCCTTCCTTGGGGTGCTCTCTTTGGAAGAAAATCATGGAAGTTTACCCTCTTCTTCACAATGGTTTGTCCCCTAAGTTGGGTTCAGGGCACCATCTGAAGTTCTGGAAAGACAAATGGTGCAATAACAGGTCCTTTGAAGAGTTGTTCCCCCAGCTTTTTCAACTAGCAGAAAACCAAAATACAATGGTGGCAGATTGTTGTGAAGTGAATGGAAATAGATTTACCTGGATTCCTGCTTTCAGAAGACCTATTCAAGATTGGAAAGTGGATCAAGTGGTGGATCTGTTGGGCTTGCTTTCAAACCAGATTTTGAACCCCTTGGAAGAAGATTCTTGGATCTGGGAGTGGAATGCAGATGGAATTTTCACTGTGAGTTCCTTTGACAAAAGGTTATCAGGTGGAGGAATTGGAAATTTCCCTGCTGTTAAAATTTGGAGCCAGATTCCTCCTTCCAAAGTGAATGCTCTGCTTTGGGCTGTAGTTTTGGATAGGAACCTATCTAAACAGAATCTGGCCAGAAGAGGAATTCTGATTCAGAACATGCTTTGTGAGCTTTGTGGGCAAGCAGAAGAGGATAATAATCATCTTTTCATCCATTACCCTATTTTGACAGCATTATGGGGCCACTTCCTCTCTTCTGTAGGTCTTTCCTAGGTCAAGCCAAAACGGGTATCAGATCTGTTATGGAGCTGGGACCTGCAAGGTCCCTCTAAGCTGGCTAGAAGCGTGTGGTGGGTTATCCCTGCAGCTGAGATCAGTTCCATTTGGACGGAGAGAAACAGAAGAATCTTTCAAAATAAAGCTAAGGATGTAGACTGTCTTATCTCCTGTGCCGTGGGAAAATTAGTGTCATGGACTGCAGGTGTGAAAGGCTTCCAGCCTAGGGTATTTGGAACTCAGTTGAGGTCCAGAAGTGCATTTGAATTGTAATGTAAGCTGGGAGTCTGTTCTCAGTTTTGCTCCTTGTTTGGGGCTGAGTTGTATGGTTCTGTTTCAGTTAATAAATTTACCTTACCTTTTATCAAAAAAAAAATTAAGACATAACCCACAATAATAACTATAACAGCAATAACATTACAGATAAGGAAGAGGAAAAGGATGGCGGTGATGATAATAATGACCATGATGATAGTTGAATTGTTGATAATGATGGCAGTATTGATGATCAAAAGAAACGAAGGTATAATGATGAAGGTTCTGATCGTCTTAGTTAAACGAAAATTCTGAGACAATTTGTTGAATATTTCTGAGAAGTGAAAAGAAAAGTAAATTATATATTTGGCTGAGAAAAACAGACATAACAAACCTAGCAGTTCTTTTTGAGACTGGCATATTATCTGGAGTACCCACTATTCCTCTGACACCATTTGCAGTTGTTGAATTCAATAACTTTCCTAATCCATTTACTGGTCCATCATAAAACTGGAAACAAAACATAAATAGGTAAGTCAAAAGAAAGTCAGGAGCTCCTAAAATGCAGCACAAAGCAACTGTTTTACCTTTGATTTCATTTCTTTACCAGGGTCTAAAATCCGGGCCAGAATATCCATGGTCTGCATTTCCAGAAAACTACCGTCAGCACATGCAAATCAAATTAAAACACATTTCCCTCTGGAAATAAAGAACTGAAAGACCTTTTCCAAAAGGTTTTCTGATATCTCCTTGTGCTTCAGAGAATTAACCAGAGGAAATATAGCACCTTCTGCTTCAATTAATTGGCAAACATTATTGCTGCACCAGGAAAGAAGGTAGGAGATTAAAATAAAGAAGAAAGGAAAGATGCTATAAAAAACTCAGTTATTGACTAATTCTTTGGAGCATAACAGAGTCTAAAACTAAATGAGACAATAAAATTCAATATTGACTAATACCAACTATTCATCAAAAAATATTGACTGATATCAACTTTTGAACAAAAAAGTAAGGATGTTCTTTGCAATATGGACATAAATTACATCTCTAGATGTTCATATGAGTTTGGGAAAAGTTATAATGCCAGCTGCCAACCGGACACAATAGGTGATAAAATGAGAGAAAGTAGACTAACAGAGTAACAGGATATGGTCTGTGGTCAAGTGCAGAGAAGACCATCTACAGAACCGATAAGAAGTGATCAGTTACAAGTTGAAGGGGCAGACCAAAATGGACATGCGTTGAAGTAGTAAGAAATGATTTAAGCACTCAACAATTTAACAGTGGATATGGCACTTAATAGAATGAAATGGCAAAATGGGATTCACATTGCTGACCATACAGTTGGGACAAGGCATAGATGATGAAAACTAGTAGCTAAAACAAGAAAACATGATGAAGGACCTGACAGAAAGCCTCTCCAAAGCATGAGTAACAGCTACTCTAACAGAATCATCATTACAGTCTAATAGCTGAACTAAATGCTTGACAGCTCCAGCTTCCTTGAATGAGATTCGCATGTGTTCATTGATAGCTGCATCAGCGATTGAGTGTGAAGCTCTTGAAATGGCTGTAACATCTTCAAGTCCAAGAATCAAAACTAAGCGAGCAACACCATCCATCCATGGTAAGAGTGTATATCTCTCATTCATCAATGATCCAGAGTAAGGCTTTCTTCCATCTTCCATTTCTATGGCCCCAATACGTGCAAGAAATTGTTGTTGACTTCGCCCTACTATTGCATTCATTTTAGCTTCCTCTAAGCTAACATTCTTGTCTTGAATATTTAATCCAAGGAGCAGCTCAGAGGCACCATATCTTGAAGGACCTGAGTTACTCCTTTCAAATTCTGTTCCATCAGGTAAAGAGGGCCATGAATGTGAAGCTGGTCTGAAGGACTTGTAAGCATCTGCTCCAACCAAAGGAACTAGAACCAGACCTTCCTCTACTATAAGAACTCTATAGTATTCATCTTTTGCAAGTTCCAGCAACGCATTCTTTGCTTCCTTTCTGATGACTTTGGATTCTTCCAGATCAGCTTTTAAGATCTTTGCCTGCAGTCAGTGTGCATGACCATTAGAAATCCTACAATCAGATATCCAAATATCGAAAATATTAAATTTATTAGCCTGATAGAACCTTCTAAAGAAATACTTTCTATTAACATACTCCAATATGATATATATGAAATCATCAAGCCATAACAGAAACAGCCCCGACAGTCTGACACCCAAGGCAAGAAGAAAAGAGGAAATGTTTTAGGGCTATGCCTTTTTCCTTTTTTTTTCTTTTTTTTT